TGTTAATATTGATGGTTTGCCTTTATCTAAAAGTTCGGGGAGTCAAGTCTACCCTATTTTATGCAGTTTGGTTAACAATTACAACAATGTTGGCATTATTGGGATTTATCATGGGTATGAAAAACCTGCAGACGCTAATATATTTTTGCAATCTTTCGTAAAAAAAGCTCAAAATTTGGTTACCCATGGTGTAACAGTTAATGGAATAATATATCCATTTAAAATTAAAGCATTCATTTGTGATGTTCCAGCTCAGTCTTTTATAAAATGTACAAAGGGTCATTCAGGTTATTATTTGTGTACAAAATGTGAAGTTAAAGGCGAATATCATCTTAATAGAGTATGCTTTCCGTACGTACAGATTTGCAATGTAAGAACAAACAAAAACTTCAGATTAAAATCACAGCCAGATCATCATACAGGTACATCAGTATTAGAATTGATTCCAAATTTAGATATGGTGTATGATTTCCCATCAGATCCAATGCATTTACTTTTCTTAGGAGAAGTTAAAAAAATAGTTGTCTCTTTATGGTGTCATGGAAAACCTCGTGCTAAATTATCATTGCATCAACAATCAATAATATCAAGATTATTAGAAGAACAAAAATATTATATACTATGTGATTTTAATAGAAAATCAAGATCGTTATTAGAAAGTAAGAAGTGGAAAGCCACTGAATATAGGACATTTTTATTATATACAGGACTGGTCGTATTAAAATCTGTATTAAGGTAAGATAAATATTTAAATTTTATAACTCTGCACGTAGCTGTTACCATCTTATCTACTTCAAAGCATATTGAATTGTATTTAGATTATGCAAAATTATTATTACAATATTATGTTGAAACATTTATTAGTCTGTACGGTAAAGAAAATGCATCTCATAATACACAAAATTTGTAACATCTTTGTGATGATGTGAAAAATTTCGGATCACTGCAAACCTTCAGTGCTTTCCCGTTTGAGAACTATATGCAGTCAATATTGAAAATGATTCGCAAAAATGATAAACCATTGCAGCAAATTATTCGCCGGNTAAGTGAACAAAATAATTATATACCTAATCCTAATCAAAACATAAAACAATTAAAAGAACCTCAACTTTTAAATATGCATTTTAATGGTCCGCTTATGAATTGTCACAGCTATAATCAATATAATAAAGTTGTGTTTGAAAAATTTTTATTAACTACTACAGAACCAGACAATTGTTGTTATTTGGTGGATGGAAGTATTGTAGTTATCCGAAATTTTGCTTCTAATAATGAGAATACTATTATAATTGGAAGTAANTATAAAACACTTAAAGATTTTTATATCAAACCCTGCAAATCTTCAAAACTTGATATTTATGAAGTCTGCGATCTCAGCAATTTACAGATTTGGAATTTGGATCAAATTGCAAACAAATGTGTTCGATTAAAATACAAAAATAGATATGTTACTTTTCCTTTATTACACGNACAATCCTAAATAGAACAAATATATTATTTATTTAATGAAATTTAGAATATTAAAATTAGTCACATTTATCTTATAAGTTTCATAAAATTATTAGAAAAATAAGATAAACAGAGAAAGAAAATTTTTTTATTTTATTATTATCAGTACAATTTATTAATTTTAATTTGATAAATATAATATTATTCTACTACATATTTATATAATATTGCTACAAAATTATATTACATTAAAATTGTTTAACCTTTTCGCTCCGGGACTGGTCCATATATGGACCAGCAAGAAAAGCAAACGTAATAGATGTTTATAAGGTCAATTTAATGCACTAAATTTAGGAAAAAAATTAAAAAAAATCCTGGTTACTTCTTTGACCTTTAAAATTAACTTTG